GACACTTGACTGTTGGTACTGTGGGACACTTGACTGTTGGTACTGTGGAGACACTTGACTGTTGGTACTGTGGGACACTTGACTGTTGGTACTTTGGGTACACTTGACTGTTGGTACTTCGGATACACTTGACTGTTGGTACTGTAGATACACTTGACTGTTGGTAATGTGGGTGGATACACTTGACTATTGGTACTGTGGATACACTTGACTGTTGGTACTGTGGATACACTTGACTGTAGGTACACTTGACTGTGTGTACACTTGACTGTGGATACACTTGACTGCGGGTACTGTGGCAGCACTTGACTGTTGGTACAATTGACTGTGTGTACTGTGGTAACACTTGACTGTAGGTACACTTGACTGTGTGTACATTTGACTGTGGATACACTTGACTGTATGTACTGTGGTTACACTTGACTGTGGATACACTTGACTGTTGGTACTGTGGGTGGATACACTTGACTATTGGTACTGTGGGTACACTTGACTATTGGTACTGTGGATACACTTGACTGTTGGTACTGTGGTTACACTTGACTGTGGGTACACTTGACTGTGTGTATTGTGAGTACACTTGACTGTAGGTACACTTGACTGTGGGTACACTTGACTGTGTGTACTGTGGGTACACTTGACTGTATGTACACTTGACTGTGGATACACTTGACTGTTGGTGATGTGGATACATTTGACTGTGGGTACACTTGACTGTGGATACATTTGACTGTGTATACATTTGACTGTAGGTACACTTGACGGTATGTACACTTGACTGTAGGTACACTTGACTCGATACACTTTACTGTTGGTACTGTGGGTACACTTGACTGTTGGTACCTTGGGTACACTTGACTGTTGGTACTTTGGATACACATGACTTTGGGTACACTTGACTGTGGGGACACTTGACTGTTGGTACTTTGGATACACTTGACTGTTGGTACTTTGGGTACACTTGACTGTTGGTACTTTGGATACACTTGACTGTTGGTACTGTGGATACGCTTGACTGTTGGTACTGTGGGTACACTTGACTGTTGGTACTGTCGATACACTTGACTATTGGTACTGTGGGTACACTTGACTTTGGGTACACTTGACTGTTGGTACTGTGGGTACACTTGACTGTTGGTAATGTGGATACACTTGACTGTTGTTACTGTGGATACACTTGACTGTTGGTACTTCGGATACACTTGACTGTTGGTACTGTAGATACACTTGACTGTTGGTACTGTGGATACACTTGACTATTGGTACTGTGGATAAACTTGACTGTTGGTACTTTGGGTACACTTGACTGTTGGTACTTTGGGTAAACTTGACTGTTGGTACTGTGGATACACTTGACTTTGGGAACACTTGACTTTGGGGACACTTGACATTGGGTACACTTGACTTTGGGGATACTTGGCTGTGTGTACATTTGACTGTGGATACACTTGACTGTGGATACACTTGACTGTGGATACACTTGATTGTGGTTACACTTGACTGTTGGTACTGGGGGTACACTTGACTGTGGACACACTTGATTGTGGATACACTTGACTGTTGGGACTGGGGGTACCCTTGACTGTGGATACACTTGACTGTTGGTACTGGGGGTACACTTGACTGTGGGAACATTTGACTGTTGGTACTGTGGACACACTTGACTGTGGATACACTTGACTGTTGGTACACTTGACTGTGGGTACACTTGACTGTGGGTACACTTGACTGTGTGAACATTTGACTATTGGTACTGTCGATACACTTGACTGTGGATACACTTGACTGTGGGTACACTTGACTTTGGGGACACTTGACTGCTTTGTAAGCGTTGAATTTATCCTTTGCTATTTTCACACTTACACAGTCCATACAATGATGAAGTGGTCCTCTTTTCTACCTGAATGTTGATTACTTTCAATCCTATTTATAGACATACCTGAAGATGATTAAGGAATGGCCTAGTTACCTGTACAATGTGAAGACTCTTATAAACTCCACACTTGAGCGACTTGACAGTAACCGTGGCAACAAGACGTTACTACAGGCTCTAGGGGAACTGTAAGTTTATCTTGCTTTTGATTTGTTGACAGATTATAGCTAATGTTAATATAAGCACCGTCTAGCTGGCAGTTAGATAGTCTATAAGGACGTCCTGATGATTTATCTGTTGCCCAGATGGTACTCATTTCACCTATATCCTCAATCTGACAACAAATCTCTGTTTATTAGTTTATTGCTTTCTCTTGGCACAAACATCTATTCTTTGTCTGTCCTCAATTATTTATTTTTTTAAATGACTTCTGTGGAAGCACCATACACTTTGAAGAATTTAAGAAGACCTTTTCAATTATAACACTATCTTCAAATTCTTGAGTTAGCAAAGGGAGATTAATATACCTTTCCTCCAAAAACTCCCACTATTTTATAGTTATCTCCCTTGCTGAATTACTGCTACATTTGAGCATACTGCATTATTTGAACAAGTAGCTTTAATTTCTACAGGTAGGCCTTACCACTGTACCCTGCCTAGGACATGATATTTAGCATGAAACCTTCAGTGTATCCAACTAAACGACCTCAACCCTTTTCAAGGTCAAAGACCAAATGTACTAAAATCTATACTAAAGTAGTTATATTGATTTAATGTATTTCAGATATTCCTTTGAAAGATCCTTTGACAAGGCCTTGGCTATCTACATCAAGTAAGTAATGGTTACAGGTTAAGGATAGTGTTCTCTCACTGTGAAGATAAAGACATGACGCACACCTCTGAGAGATAACTTACACCTCTGAGAGATAACTTACACCTGTGAGAGATAACTTACATCTCTGAGAGATAACTCACACCTCTGAGAGATAACTTACACCTCTGTGAGATAACTTACACATTAGAGAGATAACTCACACCTCAGAGAGATAACTTACACATTAGAGAGATAACTTACACCTCTGAGAGATAACTTACACCTCTGAGAGATAACTTACACCTCTGAGAGATAACTTACACATTAGAGAGATAACTCACACCTCAGAGAGATAACTCACACCTCTAGACAGGTAAGTTACACCTCTGAGAGATAACTTACACCTCTGAGAGATAACTTACACATTAGAGAGATAACTTACACCTTTGAGAGATAACTCACACCTCCTGAGAGATAACTTACACCTCTGAGAGATAACTTACACCTCTGAGAGATAACTTACACCTCTGAGAGATAACTTACACCTCTGAGAGATAACTTACACCTCTGAGAGATAACTTACACCTCTGTGAGATAACTTACACCTCTGAGAGATAACTTACACATTAGAGAGATAACGTACACCTCTGAGAGATAACTTACACCTCCTAGAGATAACTTACACATTAGAGAGATAACGTACACATTAGAGAGATAACGTACACATTAGAGAGATAACTTACACCTCTGAGAGATAACTTAAACCTCTGAGAGATAACTTACACCTCTGAGAGATAACTTACACCTCTGTGAGATAACTTACACCTCTGTGAGATAACTTACACCTCTGAGAAATAACTTACACCTTTGAGAGATAACTTACACGTTAGAGAGATGACTTACTCCTCTGAGAGATTTCTTACACATTAGAGAGATAACTTACACCTCTGAGAGATAACTCACACCTCTGAGAGATAACTTACGCATTAGAGAGATAACTCACACCTCAGAGAGATAGCTTACGCATTAGAGAGATAACTCACACCTCTTAGAGATAACTCACACCTCTTAGAGATAACTTACACCTCTGTGAGATAACTTACACCTCTGTGAGATAACTTACACCTCTGTGAGACAACTTACACCTCTGTAAGATAGCTTACACCTCTGAGAGATAACTCACACCTCTAGAGAGATAACTCACACCTCTGAGAGATAACTTACACCTCTTAGAGATAACTCACACCTCAGAGAGATAGCTTATGCATTAGAGAGATAACTCACACCTCTTAGAGATAACTCACACCTCTTAGAGATAACTCACACCTCTGATAGATAACTCACACCTCTAGAGAGATAACTCACACCTCTGAGAGATAACTTACACCTCTGAGAGATAACTTACACATTAGAGATAACTTACACCTCAGAGAGATAACATACACATTAGAGAGATAACTTACACCTCTGAGAGATAACTTACACCTCTGAGAGATAACTTACACATTAGAGATAACTTACACCTCAGAGAGATAACTTACACATTAGAGAGATAACTTACACCTCTGAGAGATAACTTACACCTCTGAGAGATAACTTACACATTAGAGATAACTTACACCTCAGAGAGATAACTTACACATTAGAGAGATAACTTACACCTCTGAGAGATGACTTACACCTCTGAGAGATTACTTACACCTTTGAGAGATAACTTACACCTTTTAGAGATAACTTACACCTATGAGAAATAACTTATACCTCTAGAGAGATAACTTACACCTCTGAGAAATAACTTACACCTTTGAGAGATAACTTACATGTTAGAGAGATGACTTACACCTCTGAGAGATTTCTTACACCTTTGAGAGATAACTTACACATTAGAGAGATAACACACACCTATGAGAGATAACTCACACCTCTGAGAGATAACTTACACCTCAGAGAGATAACTTACACCTCTGAGAGATAACTTACACCTCTGAGAGATAACTTACACCTCAGAGAGATAACGTACACATTAGAATCACCGATAAGGACTTCCCGAAATCGGTTCGGTTCCAATTCTTCATACTAAGCGTGACTGTATGCACAATAATTTTGTACAATGTTAAGCCATTTTTGTAGCATGTTTGTATTTTAAATGATGATATTCAGAAGATTGAAAGCGACTGTCAGAATTTCCCACGAATGACGGAAGTCCTGTAGTAAACAATGCATGCAGCGCACCAAGCGGCGAATATAATTACTACGGGAGGTTATGAGTCCATACTGTCCTACGATAATACCCGAGTGCGTAGCCGGACTATCGGTATCCTCGGGGCTGATTATCACTATACTGCATAATTGATCATGAATGACGGAAAAAACAGCAGACTCTATTTGGATTTCAGTCATCAGCTAAAGACGACAACTTTCAGTTCATATTATTACATAATGACTGTCTGTGCCCAGTGTGGGTAAGTTACATGATCTCTGTTTCAGTAATATGGGCCATTTTTAAAGACGTAATCAAAACACTGACATTTGAGTTTGAAATACGTTTTCTTGTGCAATTTCAACTTAAAAACGAATCATCTGTAGAAATAAACTGGTGCATGCCAAAAGTGATCCGATTTGGGTACTGGTCCGATTTGGGTACTCCTTACACAATTTTCATTCTGTTACTGACTAATTCTTGGTGTTTTTATTCTATGACAAACTGGAAATATAATGAAATATATAAAAACCTGTAAAAATGACATTGCTACAATTAGTTAACAATTTTGTGATGATATTACATACTCATGGGGATTTAGATAAGGTGTACCCCTAATATATGCAGCCATACCCCCATTTTGAAAGGTATGGGGTACAAAAAAAAACAATTACAAAAGTGACAGGGAACACTGCATTCAAATACCAAACAGTGTCTACGTCTTCGATGTCAAATCTTTTAATGGCTAGCAGCAATCAATATCAACACGATCTACCCCTAGCAGTGAAAACATTTTAACTTGGAAAAATATTTAATATGTTACCATGGCTCCTTTATAAACTGTTACTTTTGTTTTGTTATGCCTTAAATAAAGGTTTTATACTTGATTCTTATGTTTTTATGAGAAAGTGTGTATCAAGTTTTTTGGAATCAGGATTTTTTCGAATCGGTTCGATTTCGATTTTGATCCCTTCGAATCGATTTTTTCGAATCGATCAAAATCGAAATCGAACCGATTCGAAAAAATCCTGTTTCGTCCCAGCCCTACACATTAGAGAGGTAACTCATACCTCAGAGAGATAACTCACACCTCAGAGAGATTATACTCGCACATTAGATAGATAACTCTCACATTAGAGAGGTAACTCTCACATTAGAGAGGTAACTCACTTCTCAAATGTCCCATTAGATGACTCATGCTAGATTTTCTATATCTGGTTTGATCTGTCTAGTTCCTTATACAGCTATGTGACATTTGCCACAGTTTTTTTTACACACAACTGTATTCATCGAAACTTTGAACTCAATAACGTTTTGAAGAATAAGGAATGTTTTAAACACAATTCTGTTACATTTATTGCAGGCTTAAACACAAGGATGTATTCCAGTTGATCTATAAACATGACCTGTTTGACTCCATCAGTGATAAAATTGTACAACTCATGGAGTTTGACTGTGACCAGGCTGTGGCCATGCTGATTGGTAACATGACGAAAATGTCTGTAAGTAGCTTTGTATCCTAGGTGATGGCCCTATAACATGGGATAGTGAGTCAGTACTTATCGATAAACAGCCAACATATGGGATAGTGAGTCAGTAATTATTGATAAACAGCCAACATATGGGATAGTGAGTCAATATTTATTGATAAACATATGGTATAGTGAGTCAGTACTTATCGATAAACAGCCAACATATGGGATAGTGAGTCAATACTTAATGATAAACAAACGGGATAGTGAGTCAGAACCTATTGAATAACAGCCAACATACGGGATAGTGAGTCAGTACCTATTGAATAACAGCCAACATATGGGACAGTGAATCAGTACTTAATGATAACAGCCAACATACGGGATAGTGAGTCAATACTTAATGACTCGGATTATGTCGGATTATCACAAGATGATAAACATGATAGTTATGTCGGATTATCACAAGAGGATAAACATGATAGTTATGTCGGATTATCACAAGATGATAAACATGCCAACAGCCAACAGCCAACATATGGGACAGTGAATCAGTACTTAATGATAACAGCCAACATACGGGATAGTGAGTCAATACTTAATGACTCGGATTATGTCGGATTATCACAAGATGATAAACATGATAGTTATGTCGGATTATCACAAGATGATAGTCTTATAATAAAAAGTGTAGTAAAGCAATATGATGAAATCAGTATAAATTTGCTATAGGGATGTAAACATTATCCCAGTCTGATGAGCTAGAGTCCTATCTCTAGAAACGGATTGATGTAGATAATTCATTTCTATATTTTAGATTGACAATGTTGTGCAACAGTTGGAGAAAACTCCCCAGAATTTATATGTGGTAAGTTATCATGACTTATAATTGTGTGGTAAGTTATCAGGACTTGTAATGATGTGGTAAGTTATCAAAATATTATAATTTCACAAGTGTAAAACATCACTCTTAGTATTGTCCAATCTGAACGTTGTTTAGATGAACTGACAGCAGAATAAGTCTGCAGCATGTATTATTGATTTAACATAACTTTACAATCAATACCATTTTTATCTGGAAATCTTACCAGATAATAGCAGCAAACGTCAAAACTGAAGTGAAAATCCATTCAAAATGGCGCTCTGTATTGTTGTCAAGCGTGACGTCATAAGAACTTGGCGTCAACAAATACGCTACACTTTCCCGCGCTTTTCTGATGTAGCAATATTTATTATGCATGACGTGAAAAAGTGTAAAAAAAAATTACGATTAACGCTTTAACCTAGAAGGCTCGTGACCGAAGGGTTGCGGGTTCGAGTCACGACAAGGCACTGTGTTGTATCTTTGAACAAGATACTTTACTCTGCTTGTTCCAATCTACTCAGCTGTAAATGAGTACGTGATTGGGCAGTGCAGAATTGTTGTATGCTAGCTGTGAGCGCCGAAATGACAGCTCCAGCTGTTACTCCCGAGGGAGTTTAGAAAGATATTGGCTGATTGCAAAGGCCCTATAATCACGGATAATAATTTGTGAACCACTTTGAGACTACCTACAAACTTGGTTGTGAGTAAGCGGTATACGAGAACCTCAAATTATTATTATCATCCAGACAATATGTCTTTGATATGGGCTCAGAAATCCAAAGAATTAACATATCAAAGACTCAGTACAAAACAAATAAAATTCTACTCCGACTCATAAGTTATCTTAGCTATCTGTGGCCAATCATGATACTGCTACATACAATTAACCAAAAATCTAAGGAGTTATAAAAAGAGCTTGATTAATAATATAATATCATTACAATGTTATGGATGGGTTACTTTATCTTACTCTTTCCCTCAAATGTATTTAAAATCAGTAAAATAAAAATTGAAAGACAGTGTGGTAACCTCCAGGAAGTTTTAGATAAATGTTATAATCAAGATTTGAAACTAACAATATTGATATTCCTCTGCCAGTACCTGGATAAGCTGTTCCAGAAAGATCCCCAGCTCTGCCAGAAATACCACGGCAAACAAGTGAGACTGTACGCTGAGTATGACAGGCCGCGGTTACTGCCCTTCCTCCGCAGTAGTAACCATTACCCCCTCCAGATGGCGCTGGAAGAATGTGAGATGAGGGACTTCATACCTGAACAGGTGTTTTTATTGGGTAAGAAGTTTGTTTGTGTTGGTAAAGATGATCTGTAATATGTGTGGTAGCTACACAAGCAGACACTTAATCACAGTCAAACGAATAGACAGGACGCTCATAAGGAAACTTCAGTCAAACGAACAGACAGGACGCTTATAAGGAAACTTCAGTCAGGCGAACAGACAGGACCCTTATAAGGAAACTTAAGTCAAACGAACAGACGGGACGCTTATAAGGAATCTTCAGCCAAACGAACAGACAGGGCGCTTATAAGGAATCTTCAGCCAAACGAACAGACAGGGCGCTCATAAGGAAACCTCAGTCAAACGAACAGCCAGGACGCTTATAAGTAAACTTCAGTCAAACAAACAGACAGGACGCTTATAAGGAAACTTCAGTCAAACGAACAGACAGAGCGCTCATAAGGAAACTTCAGTCAAACGAACAGACGGGACGCTTATAAGGAAACTTCAGTCAAACGAACAGACAGGACGCTTATAAGGAAACTTCATCTTGACAATAAGTGTGAAATGTCAGACATGTGCTGATAAACTTTTCTCCCTTCACACATGTATCTCTCGTTTTAGTTGGAGATTCTCCCACCCTTCACACATGTATCTCTCGTTTTAGTTGGAGAATCTCCCACCCTTCACACATGTATCTCTCGTTTTTGTTGGAGATTCTCCCACCCTTCACACATGTATCTCTTGTTTTAGATGGAGATTCTCCCACCCTTCACACATGTATCTCTCGTTTTAGTTGGAGAATCTCCCACCCTTCACACATGTATCTCTGGTTTTAGTTGGAGATTCTCCCCCCCTTCACACATATATCTCTCGTTTTAGTTGGAGTTTCTCCCACCCTTCACACATGTATTCTCCCACCCTTCACACATATATCTCTCGTTTTAGTTGGAGAATCTCCCATCCTTCACACATGTATCTCTCGGTTTAGTTGGAGAATCTCCCACCCTTTACACATGTATCTCTCGTTTTAGATGAAGATTCTCCCACCCTTCACACATATATCTCTCGTTTTAGTTGGAGAATCTCCCACCCTTTACACATGTATCTCTCGTTTTAGTTGGAGAATATCCCACCCTTCACACATGTATCTCTCGTTTTAGTTGGAGATTCTCACACCCTTCACACATGTATCTCTCGTTTTAGTTGGAGATTCTCCCACCCTTCACACATGTATCTCTC